TTACCTAACACATTCCCTGTATGTTGTTATTTGGACTTTCCCTACCAGCAGACTAATTGATCAAACCAAACCTGAAGTCTCTGTTATTTGAGCATGAAGAGAGCTTCTGTGTTTCTTCGCACGTCACAGAGAACAGGAACGTCCTTCCGGCTTGAGGGTTCACGGGTTGGAGAGTAATAATAATAATAATTGCATATAAATTATATAGCGCATATCCATGCTCAAGAGAATTGTCTATGCGCTTTACAACTATAATTACCCCAGCATACACTCTGAGAACACCCAGAAACATTCTCGGCTTCCGCGGAAACATACAGTGCGAGCTGCGGATTTCACGCACTGAAACACTATCAAACTGACAAGATCGTTCACTGTCTATTGCCGGCCGGGTACCCATTTCCACCTGGGTGAAGTGAAGAAAATCTTTGCAAAGTGTGCCTTTTCCAAGGACACATTGTCGGGCCTCCTGACGGGATTCGAACCCACGACCTTACGGTTGCGAGTCCGAGAACCTAACCACTAGGCCGCCGACAGCTTTTGACATAGAGCTTTGCAAAAAGAGTCAGGCACCTTGCGGAGGGGGCAAAGGAAGGGAGGGGGTGAGGGCAGAAAATGGAGACGAAAGCAGACGGCAGAACATTGTTAGAGAGCAGGAAAAATGTGAAAGGAAAACATTTTAGAGAAAAAAATGTTGCGCCACTATCTGGATTCGAATCCGGGACCTATAGAATGAGAGGCACACACCTTAACCTCTAGACCCCGGGAGCCCTCTGTGTGTGAGAAGCGAAAAGTGCTGTGAACAACTCCATTTTCCGCGTGAAGGAGATTTGTAGTATTTTATATAAATGAATGAACTTGTTTACTTGTGTGAAGGACCGACATCACTGCACAAGGGGCATCCCCATAAGCGCCCCTTCCACTGAAGAAGCACATATCTCGAAGTGTGTAGATGCTGACCTAATGAATAAAAGAAAAGTTTTAATCGAACCTCAGTTGGGGTGGAAAATGTGATAAGGTTAAGACAAATTTATACAAACTGATGTTTCAAATTATGGGTGACAATGATTCACCCGTTAAAGAGACATTTGAGGATAAGTTGTGTCACGAATTTTTGACTGCACTATAGATCTATATCTGTCTGCACCCCTCCCCCCCCCCCCCCCCTCTCTCTCTCGCTCTCTCTCTCTCTCTCTCTCTCTCTCTGTGAGTGAGTGAGTGTGTGTGTGTGTGTGTGTGCGTGTGTTTGTGTGTGTGTGTGTGTGTGTGTGTGTGTGTGTGTGTGTGTGTGTGTGTGTGCGTGTGTGTGTGTGTTTGTGTGGGTGGGGGGGGGGGGAGGCAATAGGCGTATGTTAACATGTATGAATAGACAAAAGTAAATAATTTTATGCTTTCGAATGTCGCATGAATGACCGACTTTAATGTAAACGGCCAGGAGCCCAGAGTCGGGGAGTAGATGCCATAGAAATCAACCTACTCTTACTTTCGCAGCCACCTCACCTTTGAATAACTGGTGAACATTACTTAACACATTCCCTGTATGTTGTCATATGAGAGGCACGCATCTTAACCTCTAGACCCCGAGAGCCCCATTAATCAGTGTCAACACACTGGGGCCAGTAGTGAAGCGGTTGGGCGCTTCGGTGTCGCACGCAGGAGATCAAAATTCGATTCCCGAGTGGGGAGAATATATTTTCATGTAGTGCACGTATCTCGATCTTTCTGCTGGGATGACGTCTTTCAGTCTCAGCAAGGTTTGGTCCTGACAGGTAGGGTCGAAAGCCTGCCTCCAAAATGATCTAGATTTTGTCAATGGAGGTGTAAAAACATCTACATGAACAACACTAATGTGAATACATTAGGGTGTTCTTTTCTTTTTTTCAAGTACAAATGAAAATGACAAACAGATAAATTAAATACAATTTAACTTTAATTTATCTTTCATTGTAGAAGCTCTCCCTACAAATTATTGTTTTCCAAATAAAGATTTAAGTCTGACTTGAGCATCTCTGATGGCCATAATTGTCTGTTTTCGTTGCCGCGGGTTTTGAACTCAGTCCTGTGCTTGCTGTCAAGGGTTTGAACTAATCAGTCCTGTGTTTGTTGTCAAGGGTTTGAACAAATCAGTCCTGTGTTCGTTGTCAAGGGATTGAACTAATCAGTCCTGTGTTTGTTGTCAAGGGTTTTAACAAATCAGTCCGGTGCTTGTTGTCAAGGGTTAAAACTAATCGGTCCTGTGTTTGTTGTCCAGGGTTTGGACTAATCAGTCCTGCCATGTGGCCAATTCGCGGTCCCTCGCCAAGGAAGTGGCTCACCGCAAGGCTGACTTTGTTACAGGGTAATTTCTGTAAAACTACGATAGTCCTGGGGAGGAGGAGGAGGGAGAAGAGGAGAGAAAAAGTGAGTGAGGATGTGTGTGTGGGGGGGGGGGGGGGGAGGGAGAGACAGTGAGAGAGGGAGAGATAGAGAGACCGAGAATTAGAAGGAGAGAGATACAATACAGAGAATAAGGAGAGAGAGAAGGGAATAGAGACACAGATAGATAGATAGGTAGATAAATATATATATATATATATATATATATATATATATATATATATATATATATATATAGATAGATAGATAGATAGATAGATAGATAGATAGATAGATAGATAGATAGATAGATACTTCAACTTAAGTTAAAGGATCACCTTGACAGACACCCCTGATTTTTAGAAAATCGGAAAAAAGACGGCAGCGAAAGTTTCAAAATGTGTTGCTCTGAAAGTGACGATGGGTTACAAATGCGTACTGCAAGGCTTCCTAAAGAGGCAAAACCACGACGTGGAGCACGGAAATCCTCGAAGAATTCTAGCCAAATTTGATATTTTTTATTTACTTTATTTTATTATTATTTATTTATGCCACCAAGACGAAAGCTGAGAGACTTTGATGGTGCCTGAGCTATGGCATGGCTGCAGGATGGAGTTGTGGCCCGAGAAGTTGCCAGAAGGCTTGCAGTGTCAGACTTTGTCATTTTTTGCTTAAGGCAGCGCCATCAAGCCACTGGATCAGTTCAAGAACGCCACCCGTGCAGGTCGACCCGAGAAGACCACTTAGAGTGTTTGCAAGTGGTCCTTAACTTATGTTGAAGTCTGTAGATAGAACCGAGAACAACAGAAAAGTCAGCAAGGGTTGTGATATGAACATCTCAATGTATAGACCAATCGCGGAAACAAAAAGATAGTTGACAGCAAACCCTATGCGCTTTACAATCTATATCATTACCCTATCAGACCACAGAACACCCAGACACATTTCAGACTTGCCGGGAAGCATACAGTGCAAGCAGCCGAATAACCCTATCCGTACGTCGTGTTTTACTATCGTATCCATACGACATGGAGAACTTTGTGCCACCACTTTCCAAAGAGGAAATTTACTAGTTAATGCAGTTCGTACGCTTTGCACAGTAGTCAGTCAAAATGACTTTTTGAGAAATGCAGAAAGTTTCAAAGAAATCTTCGCACTAGAAGTGTTCGAAAATGTGAAGAATACAACCTTGGGCGTACAAAATGACCTCAGGGTGCACGGATAGGGTTAATCAAGTCATCAAACACAAAAACAAACTGACAAAGTCTTTCGCTCTCCATTATCAGGTATCTATTCACACAAGGGAGAGGTAAAAAAAAAGAAGATATTTTTACTTTCAGATCTCTAGAACTCGAACAATGAGTACATACACACATGGTATACCGGTCTAGTGGAACACACAAGACGGTGCTAATGAATTCAGCTATGACTTTGTGCAGTCGTGTGTTGGTGTCAGGGTGAAATCGTCCCACTGCTATCGCTGTTAGGATTACCGTTGACTCAGAAGAGTTAAAAGCTGTCATTGGCCTTCCCAAATCCAAGTCGATGATAATTCTCTAAGAAAGCAATGGCGAAGAAAATAAAATTAAAAAAAAAAAAACTTCCAAAAGGGAAAAAAGAAAAAAATGAAGCATTATACTACATATTAATTTTACTGACAAACTCAACATGCTGTCACATGTGTGTGAAATTTGAACAAGGCCTACTTGATTTTAAAACTAGTTAAATATTAATATTGGAACCTTGATATTGTTTGCGTCATGTAAGCAGTAAGAAGGAATTTAAGAAACACATAATACCTATAATAATGTCATATATAGAAATCTAGTTGTTTTTAAAAAAAGTTTTACGACTCTTGCAACACAATTAAGTTATATACTCTTGCAACACAATTAAGTTATATAAAAATGCCGAAAATTAGAGCTGTTACAAAATAGGAGCAAACAACACCAGCATACCCACGCACCACCCATGAATGCTGTCATATGTGAACCCTGGAAACACAGATGAAGGCGGAATTTAAAAGAAAAGAATAAAAAGGAAATGACTCACATCTGTTTGGAGAAGATCGTTGAAGAATTTATTACTTTTCTCTTGGAAGGCGTCACTAACTGTCTTGAGATTTGTCTTTATTGCGATTAGAGGCATCGTGAAGCAATTGGTCTCAACTGAAAGAAAACCCCCCCAACAAAATCAATGAGCTATGCATTCTATATTATCACCAAATCAGATCCTAGAACACTCAGAAACATTTCGGGCCTCCAGGAAAGCATACATTGCAAATAGCCGATTATGTCTTGAAACACAAACAGACTCACATGATATTTCGTTAACATTGGAGAGAAAAACCCCCTCATATTTTCCCCCCACAAAGCTGAGGAGAAGGCAATGAAGAAATCATCTAAACAACCGAATTGTTTCCTCCTGTTTTTGTTATGCTGGACTACTATCTTTGACTACAACACGGGTGTGCATGGCTCATGTCCCGAGGCCAAAGTTGTTGAACGTGTATTACTTGGGGATTATTCTTACCATCTCTCTCTCCACTTTCGTTCTGCCTCATCAGAAATTGCTGTGATCTCGCTTGTAATGAAAACCACACACTTTTTAGAGGTTAGAAACAATTGACTTTCTTCTTTTTAAAAAAAGAATTTTCCGCACTGAATCTGTTGCACCAAAGTAAATCACTACCTTAGAATTACTAAGTTCTATCTGACATTTTTTTTCTTCCAGTTTTG